TTGGGAAGACCAGGGGCCAAAGCCACGTACAGGAGGGTTGGTGGTCCCTCTAGACATGATATCCCTCTAGATTTCAGCCTGGGACCAGGGAGAGGAGGATGATAGGCAGGAGGGTCTTGGCTGCCTCACAATTTGAGGTACAACTGAGGCCATAAAGTGTCCTGCTCTGAGTCAGGCCCAAGTTGGGCCATCCCCACTCCCCTGTTCCCCTTTTCCCCAGCAAGCTCCCTTACCACACTTAGCCCCAGCACGGTGCTGCCCAGGCCTACAGGTCTCCACCAGCTCTGCTCGCTCCCCAGCTCCTGGGCCCGGCTTGTGGGCCAGTTCATAATCAAGGCCTGCCAGGCGCAGCAGGAAGCGGTCCTGGTTGATGGACTTTCTAAGCATCTTCAGGGACCCTTTCAGCCGCCGTTCCATTCGCTGTCGGAGGCAGGGGAGTCCACAGGCAGCTGGTGGTAGATGATGGTATGAGTCAGGGAAGGAAGAGAAAGTGGCTATGAGCAGGAGGGCAGGGAGCAAAGCTAGGAGCTAGGAGGGGCATAGTAAGAGACTGGCTCCTGGCTTTGGTGTTAGGCGGGGTCTGCCCTTAGTACAGGCGTTGCCCCTTCCTTTTGCTGCTGAGACCTGCGGTTTCCCCACCTCTGACCCCTTGCTTTCCACCCTCCTCCCAGCAGTGCCCCCAGTCCCACCTGTGGTTTCTTCGGCTCTGACCTCTGCCTCCAGTTCCAGGGTGAGCCGAGTGACTTCCTTGCCTGGAGGGGTCCGGGCCCGCCGGCCCTTGCCCTTCCGAGAGGAGTCACACTTGAGGTGGATGAAGGTGACCTGGCAGTCAGAGCAGGGGGCACCACCTGGGGGAGAGGACTTGTCAACCCTAGGGGCAGAGAAAGTTCTCGCTCCCAGCTCTCACTGTTCCACCCCAAGCCAGCCAGACCTCACCAGATCTCCGCAACTATCTCAGTTCGCTTTTAATGTAGGATCCCAATTATTTGGTGGGGGGATATCCCAGGACTTCCTTGGGCCCTGTGCCTGCAAGAGCCTCTTCCCCTGCTCTGTCCAGAGTTCAGGACGCCAGCGGGTTTTTGGAGATCTCGCTAAGCAGAGGAGTGGAGTGGTGGGAAGGGTGTGGTGGCCAGACAACCCAGTGGGGTGGGGGCCCCAGTCCAGACCTTGCCCCAGGATCCTGCTGGCCTCCTCCATTTTGCCTTTGTTTCGCAGGTGCAGGCGGCACTTGGCATCCTTGATCTTGAAGGAGGCCCGCTGTTTAACCGATAGCACTGCAGCCTCTAGGGGGATGGTAGAAGCTCAGCACAGCCTGGGGGCCCCGTGGGGGTGGGAACTGCTGTGGAGGGTATCGAGAAGCTGGGCAATAAGCCAGGGGCTCGGCTGGAGAAGGATTATGAAAGCCAGGGGAGTCAGATGCTAGGGGCAGAGGGAGCAAGGCAGAAGGGCTGAAGAATGACAAAGCAAGGAAGGGGATCCAGGATAAAATAAGGCCAGGAGGAGTAATGAAGAGAAATAGGGGTTACTAAGCAAGAGAGTAAGGTGGGAACAAGGCCTCTGGGCTGGTGCTCACCATGGCAGTGGTTGGAGTTTGTGCTGTTCCCGGTGTGGCCAGCTCGGGCTGGAGTGGCCCTGGGGCTGGGGGTGCCACAGCTCACCGTGAAGCCATTCTCAGACTCTGAGAGAAGGGGGCTGTCACAGCTCTGACCACCCCCCCAACACCCACTGGGTGGAGTAATGCAGTGGAAGCAGAAGAGCTCCCTGCACAGCTGGCCTTTCCTCCCTGCCAGCCCTACAGCAACCGCCTCTGTGTACCTGGCGAAAACCGGGCCCGGGAGGGGCAGGTCAGGGCACAGGTGTCCTTCTTGCCAGACCGGTTGCAGCTGAGCATGGCTTTCGAGGCACCAGGACTGCTTTGACATTTTACCGGCTCTAGGAAGGGGAGAGGGACCGGAGGAAGAGAGGGCCTTCCTCCCCGACCCTCCTCCGCCGTTCGCTCATTTGGAGGAAGAGAACTGTGATTGTAAACCGAGACCGATGAGGGGATTCTTTACCAGAAACTTCATGTCTCTAACTCAGATGACTACATTCTGCTCCCCTACTACTTCGCAGCTTCCTCAGCGTGGAAGGACCCCACTTCCAGGACCCCAATTTCCCCCCCCCAAAAGTGCAGTGCCGGCTCTGGCCAGCAGAGGGTGCTGCCCACCTGTGCAATCTTTGCCGTTCCAGTGCAGCCGGCCCTGGCCCGCGGGGCAGGTACACTGGTAGCTGCCCGGAGTGTTGATGCAGCCGAAGCGGCAACCTCCGCGGTTGATGCTGCACTCATCCACATCTGGGGGAAGGAGTAGGGAGATACCAACAATGGTGGGGGCATAGTAGGAGCCACGGAGTGGGCAGTGAGTGAGGACCTTTGGTTAGAGTCCCAGGCACTCCAAGACGACTACTGGCTTGAGAAAACTCAAGCCTAGGACCTCCCTCCCTTATCTCTGCCCCCAGCCAAAGAACAACCGACTGAAAAGGGGCCTGGCTGACAAGGTTTTTAAAGCCTTCCACTCCTTCCTGCCACTGGGACTGCAATTTGGAAGTTGCAGATGGGAGTCAAGAGGCAGCGATGGGATGGGAGATAGAAATTATGGCAGCAGAATGCTGTTCCCCAATCTCATCTCCTAGTTGTCTTAGTATCTCCCGGGTCATCGTGATGGATGCAGACATGGCACATGCACCTGGGGACTGCCCACAGCCACAAGCCAACTCAGGAACTTGTTCAGCGGACGGGTGTGGAGGTGAGAGGGGCCGGGTGGTGGAGGGTGTGAATTTGCTGGCTTACCCCCACAGTGGGTGACACCATACAGCAGGTAGCCATGATGGCAGAGGCACTGGAAACTTCCCGGTGTGTTGACACATATGTGGTCACAGGTTCGATCAAAAGAACACTCGTCTATATCTGGAAGAACAGGGATGCAAGCCACTGAATCTGTCTTGGGGCACTCGACCCTGGGACCCCTTGCTTAGGTGGAGGACCCACATGAGGGGCCTTGACCCTCCCTCATGGCCCAGCCCTAGGATCAATGATTTAGCAGTGCCTACCCATCCGCTGTGCCCCCTCCACTTGTAGTCTTTGGAGTCAGGAACTGTGAGATCTGGTGCCCATGGATCAGGACCACCATATGTGGTTAGGCAGGTCAGATCCTGCCAAGGATTTGAATTAGGGAGAAATCCATCCCTCCTCCTTGCCAAGAGCAAGGTAGAGCTGGTCCATCAAGAGGAAGGGGTACGTTTGCTAATTTCAGCATGACACTGCCTATGGAGACTCTCCACAGTGTCCACTGACTTTCTCAGACTCTGGCCCTCTGGCCTCCCTGAAGCTCTCCTACCCCTAGAACCTCTCCCAAGGCTTTCCCCTTGGCCCACATCTGCTCACCCTGGCAGTTCCTTTCATTGATGAGAAGCTTATAGCCCTTCTTGCAGCTGCATTCAAAGCTGCCCACTGTGTTGCGGCAAATGTGGTCACAGCCCCCATTGTTCAAGCGGCACTCGTCTATGTCTGGGGAAGCAGAACAAAGTAGAAGCAAAGGTGATACCAAAGCCTGGGGACAACAAATAAGGAGATGACCTCCCTCCCTCCCTCACAGAGACAGAGAAAATCAAGCAGAGCCCTGGGCCTGCTGTTCTGACTCCTCTCTCTCTAGTCTGTTTCTTCCCTGTTCATGGGATCTGTGGCCATTAGGAACACCTTTCCTGGGACTGAGCCCTGTTAGAAAGGGACAGATGGGAAGCAGAGTCAGGCCCTCAAGGAATTGCCTAGAGTAGGAAGTAGGTAGGCATTCGAACCAGGGGGCTAGTTTCTGTCCTTCATTCTGTGGTGATGGCCGTTCCCCAAAAGGCTGGTGGGTAAGGTTTATCCCATGCTGTCCCCCACCCCTGCCCGGCCTAAGAGCCCTAGGCAATGGTGTGGGGGGTGGCACAGAGAGGTGAAGATTCAAAGGGGCAGCCCTTCAGAGAGGAGGAGCTAGGAGAGAGCCAGGCACCAGGACCTCCAGGAGAGCCAGTGAGGCTGGGTAGCTGCTGGGGGAGGGGTGGGGGCCAGGCAGGGGGCAGGACTGGGAGAGGTCTGGAGAGGCTCAGGCCTGAGGCGGCTTTCAGCACTAGGAAGGGAAGGGGGGCCCATGAGCAGCTTCCTTCCTGAGGTCAAGTTCCCCAAGCTGGTGGCAGACAGGACCCAGGCTACTTACCCCTACTTGGGGGAGGGGGCAGAGAGGGCAGTCTTCCACTTCACTCTTAGCATACCTGTCAACAGTCCTTCCCAGCAGGAAACCTCTCAACTCTGGCTGTCTGACCTGCTGCCCCAGCCCTCCCTGTCTCCCCATCCTCTCTGCCAGCTGTTGGGCCAAAAGACACAAAGGAGGAGCTCAGTCCTCTTTCCAGGCCTCCTTGTGACCAGGCGACACAGACCTGATGAATCATTATTTCAGTATGGCTACCCTCCCTTTTTCCTCCCCCCACTCCACCTTTCTCCCAGACCTGGCTTATTAAAAGGAAGGGAAATAGGATGGACAATATGGGAAATTATACCATAATAATAGTTAACACAAGACACCATCTGTCAGGTACTGTTCTAAGTACTTTTTATATAATTTATATATAACTGATCTAATCCTTAGGACAAGCACCATTATTGTAGTGGAACTGAGGCACAGATGCTAAGTAACTTGCGCAGGATTGCAGAGCTGGGATCTGAACGCAGGTAGCCAGGCTCCAGCATCAGTGCTCCCAACTGCCACCCTCTTCTCCCTCTGACCAGTGTAGCCTTTCCACTTGGAAAGGTCTGGGGAATGTGGGTTAAGAAGGTTATGGAACATATCTGTGACCTTGTACACACACAGTCAGGGCTCAAATATCCTTCTAGAGCCAGGGACAAATGAGAATGGCATGTTCATTAAGCAAGAGGGTTAGGGACCTGTAGGGGGATAGGAATGAGAGTAAGGAAAACAATGTAGGGTTGGGGCACTAAGGAGCTGGCCGGACTTTCGTGCCCCTTGAACTGAGGTGGGAAAGGCAGACAAGACAAGCCTTAGCCATGCCTTCGGTTCTTCCTAATCAGGACAGCCTCCGGGGGTTGAGGAGCCCCCATAATAGGTACTGTATCTCTGGTCCCAACCTCGGCCCCTTACCCCGATGCTCCTGTCCTCTGAGAGCCCTTACCTTTGCAGGTCTTCCTGTCTGGCTGCAGCATGAAGCCCACGGGGCAGCTGCAGTGGACGCCCGTGGCTGCATCGTGGCACTTACTGTCACAGCCCCCGTTGTTGACAGCACAAGTCTCTGTTTAGGAGGGAGGCACGGGGATGGTAATTGGGTTACTTGCTTGGAGGAATCCCAAACTTGAGGGGAGTAGAGAGCGGAGGCGCGAGGGAAGGCCTCAGCTGCCTCCCTGTGCTTTTGAAGGAGCATTCAGTGGAGGCTCCCAGCCCCCATCCCCTCACAAGTGCAGCCAAGCAGTCCACTTCCCTGCCCCCTACTTGATTGAAACAAGGTGGACAGCAGTGAGGCAGGTACAAGCCAGAGCTGTCAGGCAGGAATGCATTGAGGGGGTGGAGGAGGTGGAGCGGGGAGGGCGCAGGGAGGGATGGGAGCTAAGGAAGGGTGGTTCTCAGCCTCCAGGGAACAAGAAGGGACAAATAGGAGTCTCCTCCTTTTTCCGCCGACTATCTCTCTGGTGTCAGGGTGGGATAGTCTTGGGAAGAGTGAGCCTAGTGATCCCTAAGACAGCTGAGGGATGGCCACCAATTCATCTTCCCCTTCCTCCTTGCTCAGCTATCTTAAAAAAAGGTCCCAGTTCCAGGCCTGACTGCTCATCCTCAGAGGAGAGGCACATACTTGGTCATTTCCCAGCCCCTCCTGGCTACCTCCAACTCCTCCCAAGCCCTCCTTTTAGTTCCAAATGGAGATAAGCTGGCTGTTCTGTTGTTTTCCTTTCCTAACGGGGAGAGACTGGCTAGGTAGGAGACGGGGGAGGGGGGGGGGACTGCTGCAAAAGGAGAAGAAGAATCCAGAGGATGAGGCAGGGTATATGAAGGTAGATGAGAGCCAGAGAACCTCAAGGCTAAGTCTCTTCTCTTGCCCCGTCTTGACTGGTAAGTTCTCTCTTTGCTGAGGGGGTCACAGTAGGGGGAGTATGGATGGGTCACTCTCCCTATTTTCTGAATTCAGAGCAGGACATAAACAAGTTTAAACTGCAGCTCAGGAGAGTCAGGTAAGCCCAGGGGAAAACCATCAGTTCAAATAGTGCAAGGCCCTGACCCAGGGACTCTGGAGGAAGCATGGGCCATCCTCTGGGGAGGCTAGAGTTCTCCCATTGGAGAGACAAAATCCCAAGCCCTCTCCCAGGGAAGAAAGGAGAGTGGTTCTGTGAATCAAGGGAACTGAATGAGAAAAGCAGCCGAGAGTACTATCATCTTCTTGAATCTTTGACTGCTAAAACCCAGGCCCAACCCTTGTCACCAAAGGGACCACCAAGGCAAGGGTTCTAGAAGAAGCCCAACGCTACCTGTGGGTCCCCAGTCATGCCCTGGTTGCTCAAATGCCCAGGTTTAGGAGCAGCCACAGTGGCATCTCCTATGTACCACTCCCCCCCAGTCTCCTGTGATTCCCCAAGACCATGGGAGGAACTGGGAGGGAACCTTGAATTCAGGCTCCAAACCTAGCCATTCCCTCCAAGAGTGCTCTTAGTATAAGAAGAGGTCCCCCAAGGCCTGGAGCAGGGGGAGAGAACAGAGGTCCTGCGCCAGGACTAGGTAGGTTCGGAGGGACCCAGGGTGGGGAGCAGCAGAGCTGGTACAACGTCCATCCAGTTCAGACCAGGATGCCGGGCATAGCTGCCCTCCTGTGCAGGGCAGCGTTCGCCAGGCCAGGGTTGGGGTGGCAGGATGGCAGAGCCTCAACCCTTTGCTCTTCGGGTCACGGTATTAAGCCACAGTTTAATCTGTGCTTGCTCTGTGCCAGGCACTTAGATGCTCCGCACACACTGTCTCAGTTTTCTCAGCAACCCTAAGGGAGAACTGTCTCCCTGTCTAGAGAAGAGTAAACCAAGGATCAGAGAAGAAAGTAGCTTGCTGGAGGTTGTACAGGTAGAAAGTGGCAGAGGCAGGATTCAAACTCAGGTCAGTCTGAATTCAGGTGTCATGCTGGTACCCGTTACGGTGGGACAGAATGGTGAGTGATGCTGCTGTGAGCTGGTGTGGGTAAGAACCCAAGGACACGGCCCCACGGAGGGGATGGCCTCGAACTCTATCCCATCCCTGTCTCAGCCACCTAATGGGCACAACGGGTGAGCTGGAGCTGCTGGGTCTTTTGCTGTGTAGAAGGCAGAGAGAGGGAGGGGGCAGATGGTGGGGAAAGGGTGAGGTGTTAAGAGGGTGGGAGAGGGAGAAGGTGGCAGGAGGGAGCAGGAGAGGAAGGAGAGGAGGAGAGGGACAGGAACAAAAAAGACAAAACCAACATGAAGGCTCCTGGGCCAGCTCTTGGGGACTCGGGTGTCCTGTCACCCAATGGGCCCAGTACCCAAGCTGCAGGGGAGCCCTGCTGGTAGGCTGGAGTCCAGTCAGGCTGGGCCCAGTGGGCATGCGGTTAGTGGGAGCCCCAGCGGGTTAGCCCTTCCCCTAGCAAGCCAGTGAGAGCAAGCGGAGGGAGCAGACATATTTACCATTAGAAACGGCCTGAGGGGGGATGTGCTGCTCTAGCCGCCTTTCCCCTGTTTGACATTGTAAAAAAGCTGTTTAGATGCTGGGCAGCAGCCACTGTGGCCCACTGGGCCCCAGTCCCCACCCTTCCCTCCTCCACCCCTGTAGCCCCAAACCACTAACCCCAAGTGATGAGCCCTGAGACTCCTACACTTAGCTCCCCAGCCTTGTCCTGCCTGGTATCCTCAAAGAAGCCAGGCTCCCACCAGATGACTGATGGAAAACAGAGTCCCAGGGAGGGGCCGTCATGGGCCCAGTACCACACAGCATGCCAAAGGCATAGCTGGGATGCAATCTCAAATTTTACACGCTGCCAAGACCCAAAGGGTGCCCACCTTTTTGGCTAAACTCTACTGCCCTGTCTCCCCACTAAATTTGAATGTCCTGGCGGCCCCAAACAATGACGTTTCCTCCTACCAGGGCTGGGGACAAAAATGTGATTAGGGCAAGGCAAACTAAGTTCTATTGGAGAAGAGGAAGAGGAACTCGGGATGAATATAACTGTGAACCCTAGAGCTGCCTCATTTGCTCTCTTCTGCCTCGCTTAGCAATGGTCCAGAAGACAGAATGGGTCTCGCATTAGAGAAGAGCTCAAGCTTACTAGGGGTATTTTCAAAAGCAGCCATGCCCAGGACTATGTGAACAGAAGGCAACCAGAGAGGGACCTGGCCCCACATTCATGGGTCTGAGCTCTGTCCTGATACGTGCAGCTTTTCTTTAAGGACCGCATGCAGTTTCTCTTGGAGGACTCTGGGGATGTGTGAGTGTGTCCAGGGGATGGTGGGAGGTTTAGGAAGCAGAAGAATTCGACTTACGAGGAAAAAGATGAAAGGAGCTGGAACAAACCAGCCAGGAGGTGACATGAAGACCTAAAAATGTCCCAGGGTCTTTAAAGGGTTAGTTCAGAGGGAAACGTGTAGTGGGAGAGAGTGTGTGCCGGTCTCGAGCAGGTACTCAGAGGACACGTTTAAGAGCACCATTTGCTCCCCTGTTCCTGTGTCTGGGGGTTAGGGCAATGCTGTCTGCAGAGACGGGCGGGGTCTCTAGGGAGAGATGGGGAGAGTCTGGTTCTTAAGCCGAATGTCATGTCTCTGACGAATACAAAGAGCGACTGTGTTCACGCTTCCTCGTCCTCCGCATGTTGTAGTGCATGAGATGACTGGCATCTGTAAATACCCGTGCCCACAGAACAAGCTCGCCCCTGCCTGGCTCCAGACACAGCCTTTCTCCCTGCCCAAACCCTTCCCTTTCATTTCCCACTTCTCCAGGGGCACGCCTTGTCCCATCGTCTTTCTCAGCACTCTGTGAGCACATAGTAATTGGCCTTCACAAAAGTCCTAAAGACAGAAGGGGTGAGGAATTAAACTTCAGGAATCAAGGAATTAAACCCAGCTATGGTACCTGACGGTATGTGAGATAAGGCCTAGGAATCCAGGAAAAGGGATCCAGGTGTTAAGAAGGCCCCAAGCAGGGCGAGAGGGATGGAAGGCTGGAGCTGGTGGGGCAGTGGAGGGCTGCAGGCAGAGGTGTGGAGGAGAGAGGAGGGGGTGCGGGCGCGGGGGAGGGGAGCGGGCAGGGGTACACAGGACGGAGAGGAAGAAGAAACCTGGAGTCAGGAAACCCCATTTGTCAGTTCAGGGCTGGTTGTTCCAGGAAAGGGCGCTGTGTGTCCCCCCCCTCCCCCCAGTTCCAGAGCAGGGACGGTGGGCTGTGACAGCTCCCATCTTACCACACGAGTCCCCCGGGGCCTCGGGTCAGGCTCCGTCAGCGCGTGGCCCCAGCTCTCCTCCCCCTCTCAAGCACAGCCTTGGTCAACAAGCACCTCTGCTAATTATTCCCACTTTGGCAACACTTTATCCTGGATAAAGAGGACGGCGAGGGCCCCCGGGGGTGGGGCAGGAGAACGAGCGGGCTGGGGAGGAGAAGAGGGTGAGGCCTGCAAGCTCTCAGGGTTGTCCCTCACTAGCCCTGGCCTTGTCGTCTGGCTCTTCAGTACACTCACCGGTCATTCTGCGCCCAGCACCCGGGCCCCAGGTGCTCCCCCTCGCCCCTGGTTCTCCAGGGCCCCGACCCCCACCCTCGCCCCATCCCAGGCGGACTCGCGTTCACGGGCCTCACCCACCGATGCACGTCTTCCCGTCAGTATGGAGCACGAACTTGACATGGCAGCCGCACCGGGGACCCTGCTCTGTGTCATCGCACGTGTGCTGGCAGCCACCATTACCGTAATTGCACGTCACTGTGCAGAGAGGGTGGGAGGCCTGTCAGCTTGCTGCTCCCCGGGCCCCAGCATTCTCCACAGCACAGAGACTGGCTCTCTGCTCTAGCTGCCTCTCCCACGCTCCCTTTTCCTCCCACGTCTTGCTGCCCAGTCCCTGTGCGCTTCTCCCTCACTGCCATCCCAGTTCTCTCACATTTACAGTCCCGTTGGTTCTTGGTGAGCTCGAAGCCAGGGCGGCATTCACAGGCAATACCCCCTTTGGGTGTCTCCCGGCAGATGTGAGCACAGCCGTGGTTCTTGTTCATGCAATTCATTCCTTCTAAAAGGGAAGAGGAGGGAGGTGAGTGCTCCATATGCCTGGATGCCTAGAGGAAGAGGAACTAGGGGGACAGTGGGGCCTAGGAGATTGAGAGAATCCACTGAGGCTGCCCCACAGTAACCTCAATCCCACACTGATCCCAACCCCAAATGAATTCCCCCAGATTTTGCTCCAACACGGTGTCTGTCCATGGAGCCCTTAAGGATGTGACCGTGTTGAGGGACAAGAGAGGAAGGAGCCGGTGGAGTTGAGAACAGAGGGTGAGACCCAGGGGGTTTTGAGGGAAAACTCCCCCACAGGTGGAGAGAAGCCTGGGGTGCAGGGCTGGGCCCTCCCGGGTCGTGGGCTGACCTTCTGGCCGCTGGATGCAGGTGTGCTGGTTGTCGCTGAGGAAGAAGCCCTCCCGGCAGTGGCACTCATAGCTGCCCATCATGTTGACGCAGCTCTGCTGACAGCCACCATTGCCCTCGGCACACTCGTCCACATCTGTGTAGGATGGGTGGTTGGTGAGGCCATGGGGTGCAGGCCAGGGTCCAGAGTGTGCCCTGAGACTTCAGCATGCCCTCCCCACCCCAATGCAGCACGCAGCCTCAGGCCAGAAAGTTCTCGCTCACTCATCAGCTAATGCTCTCCTGCTCTGGAAGAGGCCACCCTAAGAGGGCAGAGCTGGGGAGCTAAGCCAGTGGAAAGGGGACAGTGGCACCTGCCTCTCTCAAGTGAAGACTTGCCTCCCTTTCCCTCACTTGTTGGAATTGGGTGTGAGAGCAGAGGAAATCACGAAAGGAGCCAGGGCAAGAGGGAACAGAGATGACAATAAGGATGGGGACTGGTCAGGAAGAGGAGCTGGGGCAGTGGTTGCAGCCAGGGAATGCAACATCTTGGAGCTGGCTCCAAGTGCAGGGAGAGCTGTGGCCATGGCGCTAGGTCTGAGGGGTGACGTGGGTAAAGGCAGCAAGCCTCAACTCCTTGCAGGGCAGGGACCATTTCTGTGGACAGGCCACGGCCCCATCCTTCCTCCCCTCCCCCTATGCCTGGGCTTGCTGCCATAGTCCTTAGCCTTTCTCCTATTTTGGTTTAACAAAACAGTCTGGTAGCTTGGTGGGGAGGGGTGGGAGGAGAGCTGCCAGGCCACACCCTAATTACCACCCCGAATCGCCACCCCCGGGTCTCAGAGCCAAGCTCATTCTGGGGCTCCCATTTCGATGCCTTGATTCCATCTCTGTGCTACCTACTGCCCTCCCAAGTCCCTAGCCCTTCCCGGTTTTCCTTGGCCCAGCAGGCATCCAGGAGATTGGTGTCCAAACAGAGCAGCTAGAATTTGAGCTCCTGAAGCCCTCATCTGCCCCTCTCTTCCCATCCTCTCTGCTGAGCCCTGAGACCCTCTCCTTTCCCCCTTCTGGCCAAGGGCAGAGGGGCACGGATCCAGCAGGCTCCTGCCTGAGAGAGGTACCTGTTGTAAAGCCAAGGAGATACACTTCCCTTTTCCTTATACCTGTCCCCTCCCCTTCTCTCACTGCACCCGACTTCTCCCCATCCTTGTCTTTCCACTGTTGCCCCATCCTACAGTCCATCCTTCTATTTGCTCCCTTCTAGTGCAACCTTGTGACTTTGCTACTCTTTAGCCAAGTTCCTTCCTCCAATTCTCAGTGGGGAAACTGAGGCCCAGGGCATAGATGACATAGGGTTCCCCTAAAAGCCAAAGGTAGAGTTGAGACTTTGAACCCCAACCCTAAGGGTAGGGTTTGGTAGACCTTTGCTCCCCCTGACTCTTCCCATACCTATTCATTCTCTTACCCTCTGGTTGGTTCTCCCCAAAATGCAGGGAAAAAAGACTTGGTGAGAATCAGGGACTTAGAAAGGTCAAAGGCAGCCAAAGAACTCAGAAGCTGATGTTTCCCGTCCTGCAGGAAACTCACTGTCCTGGTCAAAGTGTCATAGCTTCTCTTTCTGAAGGAGTCCTCAAAGAGGCCCTCACAGGTGACTGGGCAGAAGAGAAGTGAGGTCCTTCTCTGGTAGAAGAGGTGGCCAGGGCTGGGGGGAAGGGCCCAGCATGGCTCAGGCTGTAGAGGCCTGGGTTGGGAATAGAAACCTATAAGCCTGGTCCAAAGATGGGATGTGACTGGGTCTAGAGGCAGCCCTGTAGGAAGGAGGCTCTCCTAGACTAAGGGAGCCTCAGATAATTCATCGGTTTGGTCATGTGGGGAAGCAGCCTAGCTGCTTTTCTGGGCATCATTCCTCTTCTCTTCCTGTCCTGCTCTTCTAATCTTCCAGTCTCCTACTTTTATTTTGACACCAGGGAGGAAGAATTTGGAAAAGGACCCCTGGCTTCACATTTCAAATCCTTTTCTGCTATGGGCTTCAGTGTTTCTACTTGGGGAAGAATCTGACATGGTCCCAGTAATTTTCCAAAATGATGAGACCAAAGTTGAGTGGAGTTGCCTAGAGATTCTCCTATCTCTGACCCAGCTCCTGGGTCAAGGATCAGGTCAGATTGAGGCCTGAGAAGTGAGGAGAGGGAGAGCCTGGAGACTGCAGGACAAGCTGGAGGAAAACCAGTCTTTAAGGGTCAGAGGCTCCCCAGCACCCAGGGGAGCACCACCCCCACCACCATTATCATCATCAAACATTCCTCCCATTTATTGAAGTGTAGAGCCAAATGACCTTCCCACCATGCTCTGCTCCCTATGGCTACACCTACTATTGTCATCTTCTGGCCCTTGCCCTGGGAGCACTTTCTAGCAGCATCTCCTCTGATGTTTTTCATCCAGCAGCAGGGTTATTTCATCCTCAGCGCCCAGTCTCAAAGGGGACGCTGACCTTATTCTCTATTTTGTGGGAAACGCCTCCTTCCCCACAAGACAGCCCTTCTGCCCACACCTCCTCTCCCTCCTTTGCTCACCCAGACAGTTGTGTCCGTCATGTGCCAGGTGGAATCCATCATAGCAGGTGCATCGGTAATTGCCGGGGATGTTGACACAGTCATGCACACAACCTGCATTATCTTCTCGTTCACACTCATCCACATCTGTGGGCAAAGAAGATCTGAGGCAGCTGGCCCACCAGCATGCCCCCCACTGTCTACCCCTGGGCTCGGCCCTGTGGTGGTTTAAATATATATACGTGTATATATATATATATCTTCTCTGTGTATGTATGTTTACATAGTTACTTTCATAGCCTACAAACCATTTTGCATTTTACTATTTTTTTTAAAGATTTTATTTATTTATTTGACAGAGAGGGAAGCAGCGAGAGAGGGAACACAAGCAGGGGAAGAGGGAGAGGGAGAAGCAGGCTCCCCGCCGAGCAGGGAGACCGATGCGGGGCTCGATCCCAGGACCCTGGGATCATGACCTGAGCCGAAGGCAGACTCTTAACAACTGAGCCACCCAGGCACCTCACATTTTGCTATTTTCATCTAAACTTAAGTCATAGGGGCTCCTGGGTGGCTCAGCTGGTTAAGTGTCAGACTCTTGATTTTGGCTCAGGTCATGATCTCAGGGTTGTGAGATCGAGCCTTGCATCAGGCTCCACACTGGCATGCAGCCTGCTTAGGATTCTCTCTCCCTCTCCCTCTGCCCCTCCCCCACCCCCTCTCCCTCTCTAAAAGTAAGTAAGTAAATAAATAAAATAAATAAAATATGGGATCGAACCCTGCATCAGGCTCCCTGCTCTGCAGGAAGCCCGCTTCTGCCTCTCCCACTCCCCCTGCTTTTGTTCCTGCTCTCACTATCTCTCTCTGTCAAATAAATAATCTAAAACATAAAATAAATAAATAAAAAAAAATAAACTTAAGTCATAAACATTTTCATATGTCTCCACCCAGTCTTTCTTTTTTTTTTTTTTAAAGATTTTATTTATTTATTTGACAGAGAGAGACACAGCGAGCGAGGGAACACAAGCAGAGAGAGAGGCAGAGGGAGAAGCAGGCTCCCCGCCAAGCAGGGAGCCCGATGCAGGACTCGATCCCAGGAGTCTGGGATCATGACCTGAGCCAAAGGCAGATGCTTAACCATCTGAGCCACCCAGGCGCCCTCCACCCAGTCTTTCTAATTACCACTGTACATGGTTGCAGAATATTCCATTGTGTTGTTATATCATAATTTAGTCATCCTTTATTGTCGGATTCCTTCCATTTATTTTACTATCATAAATAATGCATAAAGAACATCTTCTGGATATTATTCTGTTTCATCGAATTTCCCTTGAATAAGTCCCTAAGAATAAAATTTCTGGGTCAAAGGGTATAGAAATACCTTTTAAGATTCCTGCTAGGTATGACAAAATCACTTTTCAGTTTATAATGTCACCAAGAATTAATGAGTGTACCTGGTCCACTAAAGTCTTACCAACACTGAAGGTCATACATTGAAAATAACATCTCAAGCATGCTTTAATTTGCACTGGTTAATTATGAGAGGGGTAGAATGTGTTTGTTTATGGTATGAATTTCCCCTGGGGTAAACTGTCTGTTCTCATCCTATGTGGGAATGGTAGAAGGGCCTAAAGATGGAGGTTCCAATGTCAGGGCACCTCAGGCCTTAGTCCCATGATTCTGATCCCCTGCCCAGCCAAGCTGGGAGGCTGTGAACTATTCCCACCAGACCCTCATCTAGCCTCTATGGTGCCCTCCCGGGGGAAAAAATAGCCACCCCTCCCAACCCCCTCCCCGAGCCCGCAGGGATTGCAGGCCTTACTGTCATGTGCAGTGTGGCTGAGGGCAGTGGCACTGATTCCCCCTCTCGGGCGCCCTCCCAGCCTCACCTTTGCAGTGTTTACCGTCCCCTGTGTAGCCAGACTTGCAGATGCACTTGTATGACCGTGGGGTGTTCTGGCAGATCGCATCGATGTGGCAGTTGTCAGTCCCCTCCACACATTCATCCACATCTGGCAGGGGCAGAGGGGGCATGTGAGACCCTCTGTCAGTGCATTCCAAGGGGTGTCCTGAAGGTGGTTCCCCAAGGGCAAAATCCCCTCTCCTCTAAAATAGAGATAGTGACCCCTCCAAGAGCAGGTGCTCTTCCAACACCCTTCTGATTTCAGAGTGGGTCGAAATTACCTTCTGTAATTTCAGGAATTCAAAAAGCACCCCACTCTCCTCAGAAATACTTAATCCATAATGACAGCTAAAATTCCATCGTTTGAAACACTCCTCTTTGATTTAAAAACAAACAAAAACCCTTGGACTGAGTAGCACACTTACCTTGATTAGAAATATTCAACTTAGTGTGAATTAGTTTACCTCTCTTAGGAGCAGGCTTGAGGCCGGGGGGGGGGGGG